TTGTGCGCATTAACATATTTACCCATTAGAATATTTGGGTGTCGACAGTTGCAAATTTGTGCGAACCCAAGTACATAAGTTCAAACAGGGCAAAAAAACGAACGCGCAGCACTGCAGGCATTCAGCTTAACAGAAAACACAAATAGAACTACGTGCAAGGCGTATTTAACAAGGTGGTGTTGGCCGTATATAAGTAAAAAATTACACTAACAAATTATACGCTGATGTCCATACTGTCATTGGTATGAGTTACAACAAACACATCATTTTGACGTAATGGCCTCCACGGCGAAAAACTCAGCTGTCGCCCCAACACCACCTTGTTTAATACACCTTGACTACGTGTTTTGAATTTTGAAAATTTCATAAGCGTATGCCAAAAAAAAAAAAATCGTATCTCATCAGCTACCGACTACCAATGTATGTATGTAATGTTATCGTCAGCATATTCTGTAGAGAATTGTTTTTGCCCGTTGGACTGTGGCTATCAGCCTTCTATGAAAATAATTCATAAATAAATACTTATATATATATATGTACATATTTACCTATATATAATCCTAAACCATCAATATGAGTTAACTAGATAAAGTCTTAGTCGACCGCCCCACAGACCTTTTTCCATTTCAGATAATTTCTACAGGTCCACTTTTACATTCCTGCTAACAACTATCTTTGCGTGGCATATGTATGTGTATGTGTGTGGGGGTGTGTATGCGTACATATACATATATATGTAAGAGGAGTAATACAAAGTTCAAACAAAATGCAAAATTGTGCCGGTAACATACTTGAGGGCGCTTAGCCGAAATTGCACGACGCTCACAAGTGGATTTTTATGCCGGCGCGCTCTCTCGCACGCTTTATTAATTTTCATTTGTACGAAAGCGCGCGCACAGTTACGCTTTTGTGCAAATGAACGTAATTTGCTTTGTTTCGAACCATTTGTTTGCTTGGAAGGCATAGAAAATTATTAAGTTATATTATTAGTGCTCCACAAAAGGTGTATGCTTAATATTCATTTCATTGAAATGCTCGCATTAATTACCTAGCGCATTGAATTAAAGTAAAAAAAAACTTAAAATTAGTAATTCAAATTTTTTGTAAAAAAAATACCGTATTACCGCTGCAAACAAATGCGTAACGAATCTCTAAAGAGAGTATTCTGGAATTGCCCTCAATCGGTTACCAGGGTTACCACTGAAAAAAAAATACTTACATCCACTTGAGAAAAATCTCAAAAATATATACAGATAATTTTTTTTAGTTATTTTAATAAAAACTATAGCTTTGTTCTACTGTTTTTTAGTTATTTCAATAAAAATTATAACTCTTTATTAAGGAACTTTTTGTTTAACTGATGATATGGTATTTGGGATCATATTGTTAGCATCTTCTTGTTTTTCTTCAACCAAACGCAAAAGTGGTGAAACTAAAGGCAACAACAAAACTTCATCATTTGAAAACCCATTGACGATTGTTGTCTATTTCTCATGTTTTGCATGTTGGGTTGCGCCATACAAAATTTAAGCGCACATACGTACATACATATTTATGTATACTTGTCAAAAGAAACACGGCTAATATTTAGATTGAACCAAATTCAAATTTGCCTTGAAGGTGTTTTAGTATAATAAAAAAATTCCTTGGCTTTCGGAGCTTTTAACGCAACTTTTTGCGGTTAATTGGCGCTAATGAAAAGCAAATAACTTGTCTATTGCGTCTAATTATAGTAGCTTTAGGTAAAAGTTTTCTAAAAGTTCGTTGCCATTGCTAAAAAATTTGTTTAACATGAGTCAAAGGCCTCTTACGCCACGTCAAGTTCAATGTGCTCGCCTACATTAGGATGGTCCTTAAATGTAAGAAGCCAATTTTTAGATCAGATTTCCCTCACCTCAAATCCTAGATCGATGCTACTATAGTCGAAGATATCACATATAAATTTTGGTTCCGATTAGAGACGATCAAGGCGTGAAGCACAGGGGTCAAAGTTCAGATTACCCTATGAAGACGGCTTAACCGACCCCAAACGGGATCTAAATTTAAATTTTTAATTTTCTGAGTCTTCATAAAGGCATTTGGCCTTGGATCCCTTTGCGACACGCCTTTACCGACTCCAATCGGGATCTAAATTTATATGTGATATCTGTGACCGTGGTATCACCGATTGAGGGGGTGTGACTGAAAACAATTCTTCATTTGATTTAAAGAACCACCTAAATATACATACATATATTTTTCGAAGAGCTCAAATTCTTCTTAAAAAATTCGCTCTTACCAGCTTAAGGACGTTGAACTTTCGCGGAGTTGCTTAGAACGAATTCATGACTTTTTATGTTTTTGCATGTCCGCCATTTTATTTGCTAATAAAATAAAATGGTTTGCAGTTAATTTTAGCTTGGCTAAATTTGGTGTAAAAAAGTCTGCAAATATTCGACGAGTAAATTGATATGCATGTATACTTTTTTAATGTTCACTTAATATGTTTGCATAATTTAATTTTATTTTGTATATATGTACATATGTATGTCTATCTGTCTACTATTACTTGTAACGAGTTTCTGTTATTATTTTGCAATTGTCATTAAATTGTAATTTTTGTGCGCAATCATTTGGAAGCATGCCAACTATCTTAAATAGCTCTAAGCCATTTAAGCTGAAGAGTGAGCCAACAAATAGTTGTGTTGTGTTGATAAGCCTGTTTTGAATTTTCCAACCTACTTGGCATTTTCCAACTAAACGGCATTTTCTGGCATATGTTGCCATGCTCCCAGGGCGAATATTTTGTAAGGGTCTACATACATTGGTAAATTTAAATATTTTTCACAAAACTACTATACAGGGGGGAAAATTTTCCTTAAATTCGGTCCAAGCTTGAAAAATAATGAGGGCGTGTAGGGGAGCTCTTTCCGATTCTAATAGTGAAAAACCAGATCGCGGATGCTTCCTTTTAAAAAGTTATTAACTTTTAAAGTGGCACAATTCACCATACAAATCTCGTTGATTACATGGAAGTGTTGGGAATGAACAAAGATGTTGGTGCTGCCAGATGAAGAGGATAGTAAAAAAAGTCGCGGGGTTTTTATTGAAAATTTTTAATTTATATTGAAATACGGTTTTACAGGCGAAGTACTGATTTTAATAAAAATGTTCATTATTTATCGAGGTATCGATTTTTATAAAAAAGAGCCGCAGCCGAAAATTTGTCGCGATTTTTATTACCTTCCTTTTATTAGCTCGGGATGTAACTATGTAATATTGATACGCCTAAAAGATGCAGCGATTTCTATTCTCAAGTTACATACCTGATGGCAGTACGAATGGCAATTATAATAGGGAGGTTTTAGTTTTTTAAACTATAATTTTTTATAAAAAATTTTCATTATATACAGAAGTACTGTTTTCTTTTTA